AGGTTCAGCATAATGTTCAAGTCAAGGTAGTTTTACTTTTGTGATCGAGTCACGTATTCCACAAGGTATAGTTTTCAAAGATCGGTATCATAAAACATCTTTTTGTTTAATGAAGAATCGTGGTTTTATTATTTTGATACAAAGAATGGAATTCAATCTTTTCAAGATTGATCAAGCGGGATGTTTCAAGGGTGTAGTTAACACATCAAGTTTGAGTAATTCAAGGATATGAGTCATAAGATATCAAGATAGCATTTTGCAATTTACCATTACTAATAGTAGGTTTTCTTCCTTCAATGTTTCACTCTTTGGAAGTTACTCAAGAGGTCGTTGTCTTAGGAAATAGCCGTTTTGAATTTTCGTCTCGGATTTGAACGTGTTTCAGCACAGCGAATCAAACTATTCAAGAGTCTCAATACGTCATATCTTCAGCATACTATAGTATTAGCGAGTACGTTCTCGTCTGCAGGTAATTTGAATCCATTTTACTGTACGTATTTTGGCTGGTGATAATTACTTTTCCATCGTCAGGTTCTAGAGACTATATATATCACGATTATGGGAAGAGTATCTCACATTCTCACATTATGGAAGGAACTTCTCGAACACATCCTTACACCATAAGATTCGTTGGTCTTCTTGGCAGTCATTCTCTTGGTAGAAATCCAAAGTTTATGGCTACTGCAGTAGATTTAGGAAGAGAATTGATAAGGCGAAGAATTAGTCTTGCTTATGGAGGAGGCAACCTTGGCCTACAAGGAGCTGTTGCTTCAACAGTTTTTACCAATGGTGGTCTCGTTAGAGGTTTCATTCCTGGGTACATAGCAACACGACGGGTCTACGGACCTACATATGGCGTAGAGCACACAGTTTCCAGCAATTACTACAAATATTTTGAGATGAATCATGCTGTGGAATCTTTCATCGTTCTTCCCGGAGGAGTTGACACTATGGAAGGTTTGTTCACCTTGATCTCGTGGGCTTCTAAAGGGTTACACAATAGACCCATTGGTCTCTTGAACATTGACGGTTATTTCAATAACCTAATCAAATTTCTAGACAATGCAGTGAGGCAAAACTTCATGTCTTTGAGTTAGAGGAAACTTTTCATTTCTTCTTTCTTTGTTGGTGAGCTTTTAGACAAATTAGAGTTTGCTAAAGCTTTCCCGGGTCCTGGAGCCGGTTACGACGAGTTTGCAAATCCTGAGAGATTAGACTTAGAATTGCATCTGTAACTTTCCTCATGTAATCTAAGTTGCATTCATGTTGAAATAATATCGTCCTTGAACATTACGAGTTAGTCATAAATATTATTCTAAGCTGTATGGTCAGTGTAGCTACATTTTCTTCATTCTTCAGTCTTTCACTGTTGGTGTTACTGTTTTACGTCTCGTTCTGTATTGTCACCACGTCGCGATCTTTTACGTCAAACGAATCAATCGATTTGTTCTGTTAGCATCACTTTACTTCACTTATTCAATCAGGTTACATCGACGTTTTTGACGATAAGCAATTAAGTCATTAATCGCTTCATGAAAGGCATCAGTTTATTTAACAAGGTCGAGCTGTCTATAGCTTCTAACAAACAGGTTCTTCGAACAAATCGTCTATACGTAGTGAAGGGTAGCAATTTCCGATTGTCAGTTCGTTCATCATTCTTAACAGGGATGTGATAGTATCTTGACCGTAAGTCAATCTTAGAGAATACAATGGATCCTCTAAGCTGATCAAATAAGTCATGATACGAAGTAAAGGATAACGAATTGTTCAACTGACAGTAGTTGATATAGAGTCTCATTGATTCTTCCTTATTCATGTTTGAACAGAACAGATACTCTCCGTTAGAGAAAACACTTTGTCAGATGATTCCTTGCCAGGCAATCTTCATAGTTGAGTTTTTAGTTTCGACGGTAACATATTCAATATAGAGTTACGAATATTGGTCCTCTCGAGGATCAAGATTGACAGAGTTTTGAACGGTGAAATATAAGGAAGTTAATATCAGAGAGGTGATATACTTTCGGGACGTTCCTTCAGTTCAGATTATTCTTTTTGGGTATCGCACGAATAGACTTCACACTTGAGATGTTTTCGCATATATATATATTCGAGATGAAATTGGTTGGTTTAGAAATCAGCACAACATCTTCCTCACGAAGGAGATCGTCTCTCCCAAGATCGTGAACAAGGACCTCTTCAAATCGGCGACCTATGCCCCGAGTAAGTCTATGTTTCTTCAGCAAGGTTTGCTTCGTTTCATTCATTTGACGTATGAATTTTTCTGTCCAAATCTTATACGTCAATTTTATGCAAATCTTCGTACCACTAAGGGAGGTTCGCCATCTCTCATTTCCTATGTTGACGGCAAAACCGTTTTCATTGACGGTGCCGGTCTGACTTCTTTGTTTGGCCTTCGTCGCGGTGAAATTACCGAAAACTTGGATGAAACATTCCAAGATGAGGCAATATGGCGACAACTCGGGTTAGATCATCGTGACCTCAAGTTTAGAAACTCTAGCAACCCGAGTGTCATTAATCTCACTTTAATTGAACGCGTCCAACAATACATCTTCTCATATGTTTTGTTGCCCCGTGATTCGAACCATGGCGTTGTCAACAAGGACGATATTCGTTTGTTTCACGTCCTGTTGAACGATGTCAAATTTGATTGGGTTCTGAAGAAATAGCAACGTGAATCGCTACCGTGAGCAAAAAGGGTAGAGGCAAAACGGTAGGGGTAATACGTATACCTTGCTCATTGCAAAATAGACTTTACTCGGGACACTCAGGTGCCGGTCAAGAAGACGTGTTTCATCACTGAAGCCAAGTTTTCCCGGATCGTGTATCGAGAGGAGGGCGATGCTGCACCAAATCTAGACCTGATAGTCGCCGAAGAAGAAGAAGAAAGCAAAAACGAGAATCAAGCTGAGTCATCTCAAGCAGGAGGAAGTCGAGCCACGGAGCGCGTCACTCGTCAACGGAGGACTCGTCCGAGAGAAGAAGCACCGGAACCTTCTTGGGTGAAGAAGATCTTCGATACTCTCACGTGCATCCGAGATGACGTTTGCCAGCTCAACGAGAGGATGACTCGTCTTGAGCAATCTCGCTCCTACCGTGGCCCGCGTCACAGCTTTGGCGGAGGAGCTCGTCCGGCAAACTCTCTTTGATTGTTATTTTCTCTTAACTGATTATGATACATTGGTTTTTGTTATGACTCTTTTGGTGGATGATGATGTTTCCTTTCGATGATGCTAGTTGATATTAACTGCTTGTGTATTAATATCTTTGTTGGCTTGGCAATATTGTTCTTATTTAGAACATATTGTCCCTTTGTGGCATTTTTTGTAAGAGTTCTCTTTTAAAGAAAACTCTTGCCTTTTTTTCTTTCCTTCAATATCCCGGCATTGTTTAAGGGGGAAGGTTATCGGTTGATAATGCCAAAAGAGGGAAGGAAGGATAGTTGAGATATTTTTTTCGCTTATTACTCCGATGATTATTCTTACTGCACTTCTCTAACTTTGCAGGGGGAATTTTTTTAAAAGGAAGTAATTTCTGAATTCTTACTTTGCTCTTTCTCAACTATGTTTGTCATTATCAAAAAGGGGGAAATTGTTGGACATGAGTTCAAAACCCTTTTTTCTGAAATATTTTTTTGTTTTGATAAATGACAAACATGATGATTAATTTCCAGCTGATCGAAAATTTATTTGTCGTATCGAGAAAAGCAAAGAAAGGTATCAAGAAGTTTACGGCGACATAAATCGACGACCACCCCTACGCAGATTTTTTTTGAAGTGAAGTGAAGACTCCGAAGACTTTTTATTTTAGTCTAGGAATTTTTGTAAGGATGACATTATCTTCTGCACAAACAAATTAATTTCTGAGGATAAAATATTTTATTGAGTCAGTTGAAAAATTACTTTTCCTCTGTCTAAAATATTTTATTGAGTCAGTTGAAAAATTACTTTTCCTCTGTCTAAAATATTTTATTGAGTCAGTTTCAAATAAGTGTGTCAAAATTTCTTAAAAACATTCTTTTAAGATTACACAATTTGTTTTTGGTAAGAAAAATATACTTTAAATATTTTTCGTGTACATCGTTTGACACACAAAATAATTTTTGGACTTTTATTTTCTCCCCTACTCAAATTCATTGAGTAGGAGCGTCCGTTGTCCGTTGATATTCGCGTTGTCCAAAACAACGAGTTAGAAGCCAAAGGGCTTCCAATCGTGCTTGGCTTGGGCCCTTCATGTTTGCGCATTATTTTTACTTTAATTGATTATTTATTCTAAAATAATCGATTAGATCCAATTTCACAGCGCTGGTTTTCTCAGGCAAGTCAACTTAATCGATTAAATTTATCACTTTAATCGATTAGTTTAAACAAAGCAGTATAATTGATTATTCCCTCTTTTTTAATCGATTAATTCCACTTTTGGTTTCAAGCCTTTTCGTTTCTATCCATACAAATTCTTCACATATGTAACAAAAACATCAAGAAACATAGTTTAGACGAATACGAATCAAAATTAAGGAGTGGAACTTATTTTGCACAAAAAAGGGTGAGCCACATCCCCGATGGAGATTTAAAAACAAAAGCACATGTTCCTACTCTTCAATAGGTTGCATGCACCTATTTGAATTTTGCAGATCCTCCTTTTGACTTATGGTGATGAGTATTTTTTTCTTCCCAAATACATTGACGTTTGGGTCGTGCTCGTCAAATCGTCATCATAATAGTATTCTAAAGTGTCTAAACAAAATGAAAAACTAATTAGGGCATCAACAACTACAACACTATAAGGATAATAAGAGAAAAAATGTGCAGATAAATTTCGAATTTAGGCAGTTGGCGTACGATATATGAGGGCGAGGTGTTATGGTCTATGGGTTAAGCAGTTGGCGAACGACATTGTTTAATTTTTTTTATTTGAAGAGGATGCTTTGAGTGTACATTTGGAAAAAGACCGATCATCCAAAACTCAGCCTATTTGACCAAAAATGGCTGCTTGGACTTCATGAACAACTAAAAATCTTGTTTCTCAATTGGTGTTTTAGGTTTGCGGGTGATTTCTTAAAAGCCAACAATAGAAATATTAGATGGGCCGTGTTTTGCTTCGACTGTTAAAATCATTCCTTTTATGCCCTATATATTATTCTAAATACTGCGTGGAGTACTTTGCTTTCTTTGTTGTTGAATGCAAAAAAAAGATGCAGAGTTTCTACTTTGATTTTTTAGTTCATATTGCACCCTTAAAAGGTGCCTAAAAGTTAAAATGCACCTTTACAATGGTCAAATGTTATATTACACCCTCACAATTGTCAAATCTTATATTGCACCCTCAAAATATTAACTTCCTCTTATCTTCCCCACCTTCTATTATTTAATACTACCTTCACCCGAGTATTTGTCAAGTTTTGATTCTTTGCAGTCAATCATTTCCAACCATTGACTTCAAATTAAATAGAAATGATATGATATATTAATTAAATAAAATATTATTTTGAAAATATTGTGTAAAAAAATCTAATAAAATTATTTTTACATCAATATCTAATAGAAATTTTATTTAGTTAGTAATCAGAATTTGTCAATTTTGACCTGAAAAAGTCAAAACTGAAGAAATACTCAAGAACAAAAATAGTACCAAACAACTCACTTCTTTGTTACAAATTTTTCACTCTTGTTTGGGGCTTTTGTAAATTTCTTTCACACTTTTTCACTTAAAAAATAATCATAACATTTAAAAAAGTTCTTGTTAATATATAAATTAATCATTAATATTATTTAGTTATGTTTAATAAACTATAAAATATCAAATTATGAAAGTTTTAAATGAATTTGATTAATAAGATTCAACGAACGATTGGACTATGTTATCCTTTAACTTCAACAGGGAAAATGAGAGCAACTAAAGTTTTTGAGGATGCAATATAAGATTTGAGAATTGTGAGGGTGCATTTCAAGTTTTAGACACTTTTGAGGATGCGATATGATTTTTACCCTATTATACTTCGTATAAAACATAATTTACTTCGTCTATTAAAAATTTGTTTTCTTATTTTTTTCATAGAGTGTTTATTTTTTTTTATAACTCATAAAATTACTTATTTTCTTATATAGTGTTTGCTTTTATATGATTTAATTTCTCATAAAATTGCTTATAAAACTCATATAATTTACTTATTTGCTTATATAAAGTGTTTGTTTTTATTTAAACTCATAAACTTAAACTAATAATACTAAAACATTAACTAACATATATGGAAGTATGTCTAAAAATCTATTTTATACTATAAAGAGTTATTTATGAACAATTACGTTTGCCAAACAATTTTTTCTTAACAGCTAAAACAACCCACCACTCAAAACATCAAATTTAAGCACTCATTCAAACCAGCCAACGAAAATAGCCAGTCGCCAACAACTATCTTCCAAAGTAGGCCATCGTCTTTTTAATACTTTGTACTTTAATTTCATTCAATATTTTAAAGACCCACTCGCAAAGTGTGGAGTATACGCTTATGCTTGGAAAGGTTGGAGAGATTCTATACTTGACATAATTGTGTTTGATTGTAGTTTTCAGAAATGGAACTGTATTATCCACCCCAATTCGTAAATTATATCGTATAGATGGTAATACGGTTCTTCCCATACATCCGGCTTAAAATCAGTGAAATCCTTAGGAGGCTGCACGATTTGGGGACGAAAAGCGGAGATCCGACCAGAATTTTCTATGGAATTGCTAAGGAGGCCGCGTGATTTGGGGAGGAAGAGCTGAGATTCGACTCAGATATAGCTTTGCAAACCATGCCTACCATTCCTGTGTTGATCCGGCGAGATGGAGGAAGCACGGGTGCACGTCAATGGATGATGAAGGCAACTGCAGAGGAAACCCTTACAACTATGAAGACGATGACGTTAAGATTAATTAAACTATATTTTTCAAATATGAAAGGAATGAACTGCACGTTACTTGAGAATGAGCACTACGTTATTTGAAAATGAACACTACTTTATTTCAGAATACACACTATGTTATTCGTTAATGAATATTATAATTATATGGAACAAATGTGTGAAAATAGTACTACGTTATTTCAGAATGAGTACTATGTTATTTCAAAATGAAAACTTATGTTTGTGCGAGAATGAGTAGTTGAGTACTACTTTACTTCAAAATAAGTTTTAACGCCCCAAAACATACCCTAGAATTATTAATAGATAATTATCCAATTAATCAAATTTAATTTGATTAAAATAAATTATTGTTGGGCTTTATGCCGAAATAATGTGTGTTTAATGTCTAATATTAAAATCAGGATAAGTCTCATAGAGATAAATGAAGAATGTGTTTATGATGAAATGGTCTATTGAAATAAATCATAAGAATAAATATTATGAATTGAATATGAGCACCTTTTTTAGTAAAGGTCAAACAAATCAATTTTGACTCTATCAAAGTCAAATACCAAAAAAATATGATGACAAAAAAAGTATTACAAATAAATGTAAAAATTATGTCGTTGGGTAGAGTTTAACTGTCTGATTCCAACGGTTCAATCGGATTTCAATTTGGGGAAATTTGGACCAAAAAGTATTCCCGACTGGGACCAAAATTAGTCCTAATCATGGACTTGCGTTATGAATCGTGAAGATCGCAACCCTTCCCACTAAGACGCCGAAACAGGAAAGAATACATCACAAGCTTGGCTTCTCCATTTCTCTCCTATATAAACCACCCTCATTCTCTTCATTCTTCACCAAAACTCAATAAGTTTATTACCATTCTGTTCTTGAGAGTGAGAGGAGTGCATTGGTGCTGTCATATTGGTGTGAGGTCACCGGAGTTGGGAGTAATCGTCGCCGGAAGTTTCGCCGGAAAATTTTCAAAACCTTCATTTACCTTCGAGGTAAGCCCGTAGATATATCTAGTGATTAGAATGTTCATATAGATCATTTCTACGTTCATAAACGGTCGTTTGGTTGAGTTTTGTATTTGACATGTTTGATGAACCAAGAATCATAAACCAAAAAATTGTTGTTAATTAAAACTACGAATTAATGACTCTAAAATGATCTGTGAACATTGGGAAATATTTCTATATAATTTAATTGAAGTTTGGTAATTAAAATTGATAATGTTAAAAATTGACCAGAGGAAGAAGATGATGAACAGTGGCCGAAAATCGATTATTTCCTTCCTAAGAATCGATTAGAACTTTGTTCAGATGAGATGTTCGAAGTCAGTATATAATCGATTATTTTAAATATAAAAATCGATTTAAAAAAGTATTAATTGATTAGTTTAAAACTAAAAATCGATTTTTAAGTATTAATTGAGTATTTTAAATATAAAAATCGATTTTTAGCAATTAA